TTCCATTAAGGAAACAACGCAGAAGTGACTATACCTTCCATTATAGCAACATTTGCCACCTATTTAGACTCTGACTAGCTGACTTAACCAAAATAAGCTTGCGTTTAAAGATAACTGTATTATTATCAAGAGCAAAAAAAAATCGTTTTGACCACAGCAATAGTTGCTTTTTGAACTAATACTGATCAGGTACTCGATATTTGCTTTCTTGTCTGAATTAGAACAATGGTACTGATGGGTAACAAAAAAAGAGTTGAGGAGAAAACTTGATTACTGTCCATTAATGCAGTATTGGAGCTCTGTCTAGTTTGGCAAACAAAGCAGACAGAAAGATGAAGCTAAACAAATTCAGCCAAGGGAAAATCTGAAGGTTTTTAACTCAACTCCTGAAATAATTTACTGCAAGATGCAGATGACTGGACGTACCTGGAAATCAAAACCAGTCTTGGTTTGGTTTTCTTGTTGAGAAAGGTGTGCTGCAATTCAAGCAGGAAAACTGAAAGGATTACTTTATGGAGGAGGTCTGCCTGGATGATCAGAGCAGTATCTTCTGACCTTATATCAAACCAACTATACTAATTCTATGCACACCTCAGACGACAAACACTTGTCTGTTCAAAGTCAGCTGCAGGGTTGCCATATGTCATGAGACAGATGTAACTGTTTCTGTATAACAGGTCTTTCATATAGAATTTTGATATTACAACAGTATATGAGGGCTTGTTTTAGGGGGTCTTGTCTATATTAATATTTTTGAAAAAAAGAATACCTCGCAGAATGTTAATGATGTCTATGTTAAAGAGGAAAGCAGAGACCATTCCATTGGAGGTTTGTGCATGTCCACACCTTCGTAACTGCTACACAGTTTGCTTTGCTGTTAAGTTCAATATCTCCTTGTTGGATGTACATCTCCTCTCCCCATACCTTTCTAGCACAAAGACCTGCCAAAGTACCTTGGGCATGTGTCTCAAAATACTATGAGGCTGCCAGAGTCTTAAAAGAAGCAAGGCTATCCTCAGAGAGCCCAACAAGCAAGGCAGAAGTAGAGATAGTGCTGTTTGGATTGGGATCCAGACAGATCTGAAAAGGCTAAATAAAACTTCCTTACATCAAAATTCACTCATTGACAGAAAATATATCATCCATGTTATCCTGCAAGACCCTAGCTTTGCCCTCAAAGGATATAGTTGCATAAACAGTTGAAAAGCAGTTATCACTTCCTAGGGTACAGTTTTACTTCTGTGACTGAGGATTGTGGCAATACAACCAGCAAAACCATTACATGAGAATGCTCATAGGTTACAAAGCACACATCTTCAGGTTTGGATTTTTACTGAAAACAAAAGAATAAACTGATAAGAAAAATAAAAGTAATTCAACATAACCTGAAAGCAAGACCAGGAAAATGGGCTTCATATCACTAGTACTGAGAAAATTACTGTTAAAAGTACCAGCACATAAAAAACAAGCACATGGTAAGAGTTGAATTCCAACGTGTCCACTCTGAAGGTACCTTCTAACATTGCTATATCCAATGCCTAGAACACCAATAAACTAGACAACAGTGCTGGCAGAACCTGAACTGTAGATACTGTTACGTATTTCGATCTTTTTCTATGTTAGAATGTAGACAATAGTTAAAGTATTTTCTTCACACTATTTTTCAAAACTGGAAATTGAACATGGTTTCATCTAAGTTTGTGAAGTAGGAGTATTAAATCATGCAAAATAGCTCTGAAAATCAGAATAACTCCAGGTCAAAGAGTGAATGCACAAAGAAGTCATACCGTTAGTTTGGAAAAGTCGAAAAGACCACAGAGTTGTAAAAGGCGCAATGGGAAATATAGTCTAACGCATGAGAAGACATGCTGAACGTACATGACACCTCGAAAGTGTTCCAGTGTTCACAAGTAGCAGTAGAGTCAAGAAATTCTCATAGATGTAGATTTTGTGCCTTCCCCATACATATAGATAAGGAAGGAGAAGGCTGTATTATGTTATTACTGAGAAGGGAGATTATGTCAATGTTGTAAGAAAAATATTCAGCTCTTAAAAAGAACTAAGAAAGATCTATCCCTAATATTTTAAATTGTGAGCTTTTAAATATGCATTCATTTATTTGGACATTTTTTTGGTTTTATTTAAAAAAAAATCTTTGTTTATAGAAGAAAACTGTAATTAAGGATTAACAACATGAGTGAAGCAAATACTGCTACAGATGTTTTTTAAATCCTGAGACTAAAGAATCCTTTCTTTATTCTTTATGGAGAAATGACTGAGTTATTAAAGCCTACTTAGGATTTTAGAAAACACCACTGAAAATTACAGTGTGTAACTGAAGGCCTGGGTTCTAATTGTGGCACTGCAGTCTCTAAATTATGGTCATGAAAATTATAAAGACAAATTACATTGGCATAAAATGTATTAGGGCTTCCATGCTGTAATTCTTTAAAGTAAGCATAGAGCTATGATAGCAAATTTGGGTGAAAGAAAACAGAATTTTTGTACTTTATAGTAAATGCCATTACAACATATTTCTTGGGACTGAATAAACAGTTTTGTTTCAACAATTTTATAATGTTCACATTTTTCTTTACAGTTTTGCTGCTTTTTAAAACTGAAATACGTATATGCTTTAGAAGATGTTGCCCAAAGCCTCAAATGACATAAAGCATTCCAGAGATCGTAAGACTAATAGGTGCCTCAGCATGTTCCTTGGTTACCACAAGGTCCAACTCCACAAGTGGGAACAAGGAAAATGCTGGATTTCTACCATTTCTTTATGTGTGTATCTTTTCATCTCCTCTTTCCTAATTGCTTCCAGTGAACTAGAAAGGAGCAAAAGATTTTGTTGACTACAACCCTTCCATAGCTAATCATGGAGGTGCCCTTACTATTTTTCATAGTAGCAATAGCTATACGGAATAGTAATATGAAAATATTAAAAATATACAAATATCATCTTGTCAACAATGATTTCAGCACACATGTATGCGCATGCTTGACCCAATGTAGGACAGCATGTTAGCATGGGTCTGAAATATGCAATTGAAGTTGAGCATACAATTAAATATCATCAAGAATAGGCTGGTTTCCTGAATGATATCTACTAATTTTTGCTGTGTGTTTTTTCATGATTAACAGTCTCAAAACTCTTAGTATGCTTACTCTTAACTTTAAAAAAAAAAAAAAAAAAAGTTATAAGAATCCCATTTGCCTTCAGATATATTCAATATAGAGTCTTTCCTGTATGAGATTCTCTCCTTGAAGATAATTACAGTCTGGGTAAACCACTGGAAGACAACATTTTAAGATATTAAACCTGTGTCTTTTAAAGGCAATCCAGATAGCCAACATATAGATAAAAGCTAACGTGATTCATATGCTTACAGCCCTCAAAATAGTATAAACAATTACCTATTTCATCTACAATCAAAAATGGTCAGGCTTTAAATCTAAGTGATCTACGTTTATCCATGAAAGAAATATGGTAGGGTCTTTCAAAGAAAGTTTATTTGCATTTTTTTGGAGCTCTTAATTATTCCCCCACCTCTCCAGACAAAAGTGATTTTTTCCCACCCCTTCAGGACTAAAGATTTTATTTTGTTTTAATACTTATTTTTACTACTCTTTCAGCAGTGTTTCAGAAATATTCCTGTCACACCACCATAATAGAACTGAAAGAGTCAAGCAGAACATTTCTTTCACAAGCAGTATGAAAATACTTCTATGATTTTTAGTAATTTAACCCTGCTTTTATTTAATAAAAACTTTAATGGTGTAATCATTCTAGAATGAAAGGAAACATAAAAGAAAAAAAATGTATGAATCATCTAAAAATCTTTGTTAAAGTACAGGAAACAAGGACAGATCATTTTCTTGAAAGCAAAATTCCATCACTCATTTAGTATATATACAGACATTTGAAAAGAGCTATACTAATTTTATCTTTTAAAAAGGGAATGAATGTCATTGTTGAACTCATTCTGTCAATTATAGGAATGCAACAGGACTTGAGATTCACTGGTTTATATAATAGGATTGTTTGAAGTAAAAAGTTTTTTGGCATTAAAAGAGTTCCTGAAAAGAAACTAAGTTAAAGTGAATTCAATAAACATGCTCAGCAAAACCATACATCTTCAGAAGCAGGTATTATTCCATTTTATGCATGGCAAGAAAAGTTATAAATATATACATTTTTTATTTTTCACTGAATATTGCATCATCAAAATCAATACAAAGCTCGGTGTCTTCTGTTTAATCTTTATCTAGGTAAACAAGACATTCAGCTACTATAAACCAGAGATTTCATGGATTTCAATAAGCTATTGCATTTTAAATATTTCTCCAGTTTATGTGAAGATAAGCACATATATCCATAGAGAAAATGCAAGGTCATAAAGTCTAGATATACACCTGGCAGACCAGCTGATTTTAATCAGTATTTTTCATCCTTAACCCTCATCAAACCCATATACAGGCATGATTTTTTATATCTAAATACATACCAAGGATCAGAATACAAATATTTTGTTCCAGTTTCTAGACAATCAGCTATACTGATTACTGGAATATTACATGTGCAGTTAGAGATCTTTCCTTGCAATATGAGAATAATGATTTGGCCCTAACTATTCAGATTTTCATGTACTCATATTACCTTATATGAAATAGCTTAAATGGTCTAACACTGATATTCTGAATTTTAGTGCAGATTGTATGCGTCAACTCTTTAGGCTATTTTTTCACGTACATGATATAGCAAAAATAATACATTATATTTCACTTTGGAACTATTGGTTCTAAACTGCCCTATCAAAAAACATTTCATGGAAAAGAATAAAAACTTTCCTTAATTCATAAGACTTTGAACTTGTGGGCACTATTGCTGACTTATGTCTCAAATCTATATTGTTAATACAAACTATATAGCTGATGATGCAACTGGCTTTTTGACCATTACATATTCTGATGCTTTTTTAAAATGGAAGAAAATGTACCTTTATATCAAAAGCTCCTGGCTGACCCACTTTGTTATAAAGCTCCAACTGGTTCTTGACAGGCGTTACCCACAATATCACCTGATTTAGTTGTTGATCAAGTTCAATGAAATCCTTTAGCAGAATCTCTATTTCTTTTTGTTTCTCTGGGAGATCTTTGGACACCTGCAAAAAAGTACCAAAAGCGTTTTTTTGTTGTTGTTGTTTTTTTTTTTTTTTAGTGAAAAAAAATGTAACATAAATCGATTTAACACTACATGCATATGCACTTACAAAATATATTAAAATACAACTATAAACTGGTAGGAAGAAGGGCCGGAATGAGTAGACCACCAAGCAAATTATTATGATAGGTATCTTGCAAGTCAATCAAAACACACTCTTAAAATACAAGCAAAAAAAAATCCTCCAAACTCACAAACAAAAAACCAAACCTCCTGCACCATAAAAATAGCACACACCCGAAAAACCAGACCCAAAATAAAACAAAAAGAAAATCCCTCATCCTATCATCAGGCTTCTCATTTTTGGGGGGTAAAAAATTTATCTCAGTATATGAAACTGTTTTAAAGGTCAATTTTTAATCAGGAAAAGCAATAGTGAAAATACAAATTGATCATTTGAATGATATCTAACCTTTCTTGACCTCATGAGTCTGGAAATTATAAGCACATGTTTTGTTACAAGGTGTTTAAAGATGCCAGTTGAGTCCAAATATACATAAGCAGATGCATACCGTGAAGAAAAATAACGGAGAAACATATCATTTATTGGGCCACTTGTTCTCTGATTTGCATTCAAAGCAGTCAGATTTTTAACTAAGCACATTCTTCTGTGCCAACAATATCAGAAATTAAGAATCGGCCAATGGCATATTTCAAACCAACATCACTGAAGCACTTGGAGTAAATATAGGAACAGGTTGGAAATAAATAAGCCAACAGAAAGCTCCATGCTGTCCTTCCCAGATTGTTTTCTATAGCTAGAAAGGTGAAGTGTCACTATACCACACAACAGGCAACATTGCAGACACATACCGGGGGAGAAACCATCTGTACTTTAAAAAGAAAATAAAATTCCCAACAGCAAATATAGGGCCTGGGCAGAGACAAGAAACACTGGCAGTTAATTATTAAAATCAGACAAGAAGTATGGTTAGTTTTCCATATCAAGAAAAATGAGGTTTCCCAATGTTCATGTTTTAAGCATATTTTTACTAAGGCAACATTCTGCAAAGTACCAAACTTGAGGTTTGGTACACCATAAAATATAAATTCCCTGTAAACAGCACTAATGGAAGCACTGCTGATACATTGCCCAGCTGCAAAAGCATTACTGCTGTGCAGTAACTTCTAATTCACCAGCTGAGAGAATGGGACACACACAACTGTCTCATGACATGCATAGTTCTTTACCTATTTGGTTCAAAAATACTGATTTTTTTTTCTTCTAAAATATACCTCTGCATATACTCTGAATATGATTTATTAGACAATATTTGAGTGATATCTGTAATTCAAGAAGTTGATTTGCCATGTATTAAATTATCTCCATTGCTCACTATAGCCGTCCATAATATCCCATTTAATAAAAATTGACCCATGAGTCAAATTACTTTTTCTATCTTCCTAACCTTGTTATATATCATAAAAACTCTGCTTTTCCAGAATGGCACCAGACATATATCTATATATATATATGTATATATATATAAAGAACAAAAAAAAGAGAACAATTAAAAATGCATCCATTTCCCTTATGTTTTAACTCAATATCTATGGAGACCTTGGCCTAATTTCATAGATAAGTTTCATCTTTCTTGCAACTTTGAATGTTAATCTCCAAAGTTTAGTAGCTTTAATATTAATGTAAACAAGTTCCACAGAAATCCTATTGAAAGTAAATAAGTAGTCATAGCCAAATAAAAATCTAAGCTGACTTCTGAAGACCTGAAATTTAAATTAACCTGCTACCAACTAACACAACTCAAGCATATTGGGTCTATTGCAAGACAGAGCAAGAAAAATTTTGTAAGAGTTTGTGCGGTGAGGGGAAATATGCAATTATAAACTAAGGTATATATAGAAAGGCAGATGAAATATTAGTTTTGGTGACAGACTGTAACTCAACCTACTGTTCTTAATTACACAAGAATAAAAACAAAATAACAGGTAAATAATAAGTAAATGAAGCCTCTTCTTCAAGGTAGGTCTTGCTCTACAATTATAACACAAACACAGGATTATAATATTCCTTGTATAAAAGTAAAAATCTAGATCAAGATGAATCAGTTCATTATATACATAAATTTAATGTCATCTACTTTTACCATAGAGATGAAAAGAAATAAAGGACTTCCCCCAAACTCAAGTTAAGGCTACAGATAAACATTTAACAAGGTAGAAACGTAAAATACATGTAACAAGTTATATGCCACTATGTGGGAATCAGATTCTTAGATTCTGGATCTCAGGTCTCAGTGATTTTGTTTGCTTGCTCACCCTTTTTCCTTTTTTTTTTTTTTTTGGTTTGGTTTGGTTTTGGTTTTTTTTTTTGTGTGTTTGTGTGTTTGGGGTTTTTCTTTTGGTGTTGATTCGGGTTTTTTAAGCTCTGGTACCAAACTGTCAAGTTGGCTAATCAAACTGGAACCTGATGAGCTTAAGGTCATTACAAGTCTGCCTATCAAGCTGAAGCACTGCTGCAGACTGTCTCTGGGGGACAGGTTTTTTTTTTCCTGAGCTGATTCTGCTATTCGCCAGAAGTATAATTTGGGAAAATTTCTATGGAGTTATGGACATGATGACCAAGTGTCCAGATTTATGCCCTTTCTGCAGCAGAGGAGTATACAAGGAGATGGGGCCCTCCAGTATCTTCCCTATCTTCTTAGTCTCTCAAGCTTGTTACTCCCAGCTCCAGCAGTTCCACCTTGAGGTGGGATTCTGATGCTGATAGGACCTACAGCCTGTCTGTCTCTGGGCTCTCTGTACAAGTGTTTGGATGCCTCCAAGGATGAGTGAGCTATGGCTAGTGTCTCACTCCAATTATCTTTTCTACATTTTTGCTTTTGTTCCCCTTTTTTCCCCCATCCTCCTCTTATTCATTCATTATTTCAGGGTAACCATCTAGTACCTACTCAGTTTCATCCTCTTGGGTATCTTATCTCTTCACTCCTATTTAAGAAAGACAGATTTTATCAAAGGAGGGATGATGTCTTCTTCTAATAAAAATGACCAATGGGAACAGCAGGAATAAGGCAACAACAGCAGCAGATTTAAAACAGGGCAAACAGGTGAGATGCTTTCCCCCAGATATGCCTAAGACCACAGGTCTGATTAAGGAGCATTACAGGCTGTCAAGGAAGACAAGGTGCCAAAGAAAAAAATTAAGGAAAGGAAACTTCAATTTGAACATCCTTCTAAAAATCTAGCTTAGCCCTTTGCATACAATTAAATATTTTCAACTTTGCCTTATTTGGCACATGTTCAACACTGAAAGCATACCTTGGTTTGCAACTAAAGGAAAAAATAAAATTGCAGATGCAAAGACAATAAAAGTATGGCTTATCCCTTCAAAGAAAAAAGATCAATTTTCAACATCAAAGGACTACAGAATTTCAACGATACATGTCAAAACATTAATCTCAAAGCATGTGAGGCACCTAAAATTTCATACTTAAGTTCAAGTGTTAATTAATTTAGATTAATTGGAAGTTTAGTAACAGAATAATAGAAAGCTCTAAGCTGGGAAACAGCAGAATAGCCTACTTTTACCAACTCACACTGTTTTTCACAATACATAAATTTATTCTAAAACTATCAGTCCATTTTCACCTTATTTATGTATTCCAATTTTTGTTCTTTTCATTAAAATACTAGAAAAACCCACAAATAAAATACCAACATAGAAATCATTACATGCCTCCAAATATGAGAATACTCACTGAAATTTTGCATATATAATTGTGTATTTTCAAAGTAGATCTTTATCTTAATATTTTCATTTCCTCTCCTTCTGGATTCTAAAATTACTTGCATTGCTTGTTCTATTCCATCTGAATCTCATGTCTTGAATGACCTTCTTCACAAGAAGCCTAAATGATATACTACTATGTTATTTCCACCTCCAACCCAATCTGATTACTTTGGTGCAAAAACGATACATATGCTCAGATTAGCAGTACAGGTCTCCTTGATCGTTTCAGATGCTCCAGTTTTCCACTGCTATTTCTGACTTTAGCTTCAGATAGTTATTTTTCAGTCTTTACACATAGTTGTGTGCATGCACTATAGGATGAATTAGAGCTGAGCAGATGGAAAGGAATACTGATTCTTATTAAAAGTATAAAAGGAGGAAGAAGTTCTATAAAGTATGTCATTTCATGTAAGATCACTCTTTGTGTCTCTGTTCTGTTAAATTCCTTACTAAATGTAAAACAAGCAGCAGTTTATGCTTTTTTTCTATTTCTGCAAAAATATTAGGAAAAAACGAGACAGGTAACTGCACTGCAATCAGCCCACAGCATAACTGGACTGAAAGTAGGTTTTTTATGTTGTCTTTTTATGTCATCCAAGCCAGAATTTGGATAGTAAAGAAATAACTAGTCACAACAACTATTAAATGCCCCCTTCAATCCAGACTTGACTTATTGGTAAATCATAACTGACACTCCCGCAACACTAGTAAGAACAGTGAATAAAACACCAATGCTTACAGCACTGTTCAGAAAGTATTATCTACTTAAAAACAACATACCTAGAGCATCTACTAAAGAATGATTTAAAATGGAAGGGGGATAAGTTAATTTTTATGCATCATTTCTTCATGAAAAACAATCAGTGTAAGAAAGAGTTTCATATAAGTTTGGTTTAGCATGCCATTTAGTTAATTAACTGAGCCATTTTCATTAACAAACTCAATATCGAATTTAAAACAAAAACTACGTAATTTCTTTAAAACAATGAATACTTATGAGCCATAGTGTCTCTGAAAAAGTTGGAGACTATTATTTGAGGGAGATAAAAGCAGGCTACTAAAAATATGTATAAAGGTTTTTTATTTGCTGTGTAGCTCATGTTTCATGTTTTGTTACAAGCTGCTCAGCACCTGACCTTGGCACATGTTTTTTTGGCTGCATTTTTTCTTTTTTTTTTTTTTTTTTTACTTCT